AGAAAGGGGGAAGGGGAAGAGAACTAGAGGAAGGGGGGCAGGGAGAGGGGGAGAAAGAGACAGGGAGGCAAGGAGGAGAGGAGGGAGGGAGAGCCAGGGCGCCTGGGTCCTGCAGAATCCTCTCCGCCCTCCGCTCACGTGTGCTGTCATTGTAGTCGGCTCCTGTCGTCGACCTCCCTGCCTGGCGAGCTCCTGGCGCTGTTCGCTCGCTATTTCTGCAGCTGGCTCGGGAGATCGGGCCCTCTGGCAGAGGAGCGCCACCGCCGCCGCCGCCCGCAAGCGCAGCAGCCGCCGCCGCCGAGAAGGCAGAGGCGGCCGGCGCGCTCGGGCGCTCAAGGTGACTTCTGCCCCACCCCGAGCTGGCTGGTGGGTCTGGCCCAGAGCTTTGTAGCGGGGAAGCGGGAGGGGGGGTAGCTTTGTGGGGAAGGGTCGTTTGGGACCCGCGGATCGGGATCGGGAGGGCTTCGGGTCAGAAGGATGCACCTGCTTTAAACAAAGCAGCCTTCCCGGATTGCCGGCTGGGGATGATGGGAGCTGCGATCCCGGGTGACGGAAGGGTGGCCTTGGGGTGAATGAACGAGCATTCAAACGCAACACTTGTTCCTGGTTTTGCATTCTGAGTCCTTGGACCGCAAGGGAGACCTCTGAGAGTGGATTATTCTCCCTCTAAAGGGAGTTCACACGGTGCAGTCTTGGTTTGTTCAGAAACACCCCAAAAAGCAGCCGGAGTGTCACTTTCCTTATAATATTACTTATTTATTAAATCTTACTATTGAAGCGACTCTGAACAGAAGATAGGTCCAGCCAGGTGCAGTGTGCTTAGGGTTCAGCCCCTCTGTGCCAATTCAAATTTAGTATTTTATCCACTTTCCTACCATATACACTGGTTAATTTTTATTATTATTCCTGGAAAGCTTTTACGGTAGTCAAAACATTTATTATGCAGTAACAGTTTTGACTGTGTAGTAACTCCATGCTAGTATTCCATAAAATATCATCAGTTGCATTTTCTGCTCTGAATAGTTTGTTTTCCAACTTTTTTACAAGTCTAAATAGCAAGGGAAGACAGAACAGCTGCATAAAGTTTGTTGTTGTTTAGTTGTGGTAGGAGCTGCATGTCAGGAAAGGGGCAAAATTTGATTATTGTTGTGAATTGGTGGAATCCCATTCTGGTTTTCCACCTGGATCTTGCAAACAGTGAGAGGTTTGCATTGGGAAAAAAAGCATTTGGGGTATGGTCAGAGGCACTGTTTACTCACATCACCCCTAAGCTAAACTTTGTAGTTGAAAACAAACAAACAAACAAACAGAGGTTGACTAATCCTGGCTCAGGTAAGCAAAATGCTGTGCCATAAAGGCTGTAAGGTGCCAAAATTTGTATAGCATTGTGTTCATGTAATCAAAGTCACCATTTTAGGAATTAAATTGCAGACATAAGAACCTAATTGGAATTATTTCTGCACCCCTGCTGTTTGTAATCTGTTTTTAACAAAGTGATTCATGCATGGAATTGGGAATTTTATTTAGTTTAGTCTTGAAGGCATTTTTCTACCTACAGAAAAATGGGTGTAAGCATGTGTGGCTTGCAACAAATTACTTGCAAACATGGATCTATTCCAGTTAATGTATTATGATTAAATGCTATCGATGTAATGCCAAATATAGATTCTGAAACTTTATTGGTAAATATTAATGTATAATGGTAATCAGAAGAAAGAATCAGAATCGAAAGTGCTGTCACCATGACATTTTCTTCATGATAATTGATGGTGGTTAATTTAGTTCAAAATGCATAATCCCTCTAGTGAGGTCTTTCTCAACCTTGGTGGTTTTAAGGTGGGTGGGCATTCTGGGAGTTATAGTCCATCCCTCGTAAACCCACCAAGATTGAGAAAGACTGCTACAGGTAGTCCTCAATTTACAACCATTCATTGAGTGACCGCTTGAAGATACAGCAGCACTGAAAAAAGTGACGACCAGTCCTCACGCTTATGGCTGTTGCAACATCCCCACTGTCATGTGATCACAATTTGGGCACCAACAACTGGCATGTATTTGTGACAGTTGCAGCATTTTGGGGTTGTGTGATTGCCATTTGTGACCTTCCCAGACGGCTTCTAAACAAACAAAGTCAATGGAAGAGGCTAGGATCATTTCATGACTCCTTAATTCACTTAACCTTGGCAGAAATGGCCATAAACTGGCCATAAACTGCCGGTGGCCTTTTACCGCTGTACTATAGAGAGTATCTTAACTTACTGCACCTCTGTATGGTTTGCCAATTGCACAGTGGCAGATAGGAAAGCACTCCAGAGGGTTAACATCATTGCCCAGAAGATCATTGGTTGCCCTCTCCCCTCTTTGGAAGAGCTTTATAGCTCCCGCTGCCTTAAGAAAGTTCAAAACAATCTCAAAGATCCATGTCATCCTGGGCACCCTTTTTTTGAACTATTGCCATCTGGCAGACGGTACAGGATAATAAAAACAAGGACAAATAGGCTGAAAAACAGCTTCTATCCCAGGGCAGTAGCGCTTTTGAATTCTACTGTATAGTGCAATTTTAATGCAGTATCAGGAGTTTTCAATTCATTGTATAGAATGTGAAGGATGTGTGTTTGTGTTTATTTGCAGTCATAATGTACACTGAACATGGTATTTAATTTCATTGTATGAGGTGCAATGTCAATAAAGTAAACTAAACCAAACTAAACACGTGGGTACTTAACAGTAAACTTGCTTAGCAATAGAAGTTCTGATCCCAATTATAGTCTTGTTGAGGACTACCTGCATAGAGTTGGTCACATTATTTATTGCATGGAAAATGTGCTTGTAAGAAGCCAAAATGTGAGTTTGGTTTAGTGGGTTATAAGAACTTAGTTGTTTGCATTAATAATCCATAAGGTAAAGCTAAGAGGGATATGAAAAACAGCCATTGTGCCCGATTCCACAGACTAGAATCTGAATTCACTTAGTCCTAGTGGACAATCACTTAAATATGAGCGAGCCGTGTGCTGCAGCGGCCAAAAAAAAAGCCAAAACAGTTCTAGGCTGCATTAATAGAAGGGTAGAATCAAGATCATGTGAAGTGTTAATACCACTTTATAATGCTTTGGTAAGGCCACGCTTGGAATCCTGCATCCATTTTGGTCGCCATGATATAAAAAAGATGTTGAGACTCTAGAAAGAGTGCAGAGAAGAGCCACAAAGATGATTAGGGGACTGGAGGATAAAACATATGAAGAACGGTTGCAGGAACTGGGTATGTCTAGTCTAGTGAAAAGAAGGAATATGGGTGACATGATAGCAATGTTCTCAGGAGCTGCCACAAAGAAAAGAAAGTCAAGCTATTCTCCAAAACCCCTGAGGGCAGGACAAGAAGCAATGGGTGGAAACTAATCAAGGAGAGAAGCAACCTAGAACTAAGGAGACATTTCCTGACAGTTACAACAATTATTCAGTGGAATGAGTTGTCTCCAGAGGTTAAGGGTGCTCTATCACTGGAGATTTTCAAGAAGAGTTTGGATGGACATTTGTCTGAAAGGGATACAATCGAGATCAAGTGAGGTACTAATACCACTCTATAAAGTAAGACCACACCTAGAGTACTGCATCCAGTTTTGGTCACCACACTATAAAAAAGATGTTGAGACTCTAGAGAAAGTACAGAGAAGAGCAACCAGGATGATTAGGGGACTGGAGACTAAAACATACAATGAACGGTTGCAGGAACTGGGCTTGGCTAGTCTAATAAAGAGAAGGACCAGGGGAGACATGATAGCAGCCTTCCAATATTTGAGGGGTTGCCACACAGAGAGGAAAGGGTCAAGCTATTTTCCAAAGCACCCTAAGGCCAGACAAGGAATAATGGATGGAAACTGAACAAAGAGAGATTTAACCTGGAAATAAGGAGAAACTTTCTGACAGTGAGAACAATCAACCAATGGAACAGCTTTGCCTTCGGAAGTTGTGGGAGCTTCATCACTTGAGACTTTCAAGAAGAGATTGGACTGCCATTTACCAGAAATGGTGTAAGGTCTCACGCTTGGGCAGGGGGTTGGACTAGATGACCTATAAGGTCCCTTCCAACTCTGATTATCTGTTATCTGGTAAATGGTGTAGGGTTTCCTGCTTGAGCAAGCAGCTGGACTGAAAGCATTCCAAGGTCTCTTCCAACTCTGTTGTTCTGTTATTATTCCATCAAATCAGTCAGTGTATACAAGATGATGGTTCCAGGTTCTCATGCAGCTTCTGGTTTTACTAGTTCTGGAGAGTGAAAGGAAAAACACACAATCAGATTCATTGTTGTGGAGCATTTTCTACTATTCACCAAGGGATAGAGGGAGAGAGAGAGAGAGAATGAGAGAACGAGCACTTTATCAGCTACTCCTTGCAGTTTTACAGTTGGAGTGTTTGTGTGTGTGTTTGTGTGCACATACTCGTGCTTTTGTGCCTTCACTCCTAGGGGCTGTTATCTTGGCCAACCAAACTGACTGCTTTGCAAGCCAAGTTCTCAGAAACAGCCCAGATCTTAACTGTCAACATGCAGAGAGTTTGTGCAAAATGAGGGAAAGAAAAAAAAAAAAAGTCAAGACAGACCCACAAAAAATGAGAGGAGAGATGTTGTGAGATTGGGGAATAAAACTGTTGATATGGTGGGGGTGTGGGGGGCCAGGGGAGACTCTCTGTAGCTTCCACTGTCTGACATTGCACTTGCCCAAATCATTCCAGAACAATTTGCTTCTGGCATGACTTTATTGCTCACTTCTTGTTACGTTGCCCAGACTGGTATGTGTTAAATCCAGCTGGGGGGGAGATAAGGGCAAGGAAGCAGACAGACCAGAAATGCTTCAATTTGGTGCAGGTGCCTTTAGCAATTTAGGTCACATGCATGTCATAAGTTGGATAGGGCTTGAGATCTCCGGAGAGGTTCCCTCCAAAGTTGACCTTGGAGTCAGAAATCTAATCTTCCAGTTGGCTAATTAAACAGAAGAGCCCCCAAACACAAGGGCTTACCCCCTCTGACAAACATGATTTTAAATTCACCTTTATTACTTTACTAGCTCGATACCCGTGCTTCGCTACGAAACTATGTGGTCAGGCTTAGTTTTGGGGGGAGGAAAATAAAGGGGGGGGGGGAATTCTGCCTCTGCCTACCAGCATTCATCGGTATTCATCTGGCTAGCATCCTGTCAGTGTGTGAGAGAGTTGAGGGCTATTTGGAAACTGAAACAGTATTTGCTGTGTGAGCAAAAAGGAGACAGCAAGGAGCTGGGCATGGCTTAGCTCAACTGTTGTGAACTAAAGCTGCTTGCTGCTGTGAAACTAAAACTGAAACTCCTCTCCTCTGCTGTTACACTCTGCATAACTTGAATGAGCTCCTGTTACTTGTCCCAGCTTCTGCCAACCTGCTAGGTGCTGTGAAACGGAAACTGAAACTCCTCTCCTCTGCTTGTGTTTTGCATTTGGAACAGATTTCTTTTCAGGTGGGGAGGGGAAGTAGAACTCCTTAGCGCCAGAGCCTGTTAATAATAATATACAAAATACTAATGCTCTGACGGTCATTTTGAGAAATCCTTTCTTAGTGAGCACCTAGAAGCCAAGTGGAACATACGTGCCAAATCTCAAGTTTGTAAGCTCTACGGTTCTGGAGATTTTGTGATAATGCGTGAGTGGTATTTTGCTTTAGTAATGTTAGGGATATACACCCTAGCAGAACGTGCAACGGCAGTCTAGCAGGCAGGCAGATATGTGAGACAAAACGTTGTAGTAGCTTACACTCAGTAAGACAGATACACTGTGCAAGTTAAATAGTTTTTATTCCAGCAAGAGTTATAGCATAGTCAAACAGTCCATATGTCATACACTAAGTTCAGTCAGTCCGGGGGTTATTCAGTTTGCAAAGTCCAGTGTCGAAAAAGAGTTCATTAAACTTACAATATCAGTCCAGTGATATATCTCTTTTGCAGTCAGAGATATGAAGAAAATCAAACCCCTTTTCTTCTCTCAGCAAACACGCAGTTATCACCATCAATCCATCATTGTCAGCATTCCAGTAAAAGCCGGCAAACAGTGAGCTCTCTTGCTCCCTCTTATGGTGATTTTACAACCGCACCCAAAATACTTGGTTTACAGTCTAAAGTGATACATACACTTAAACTCACTAACATAGTTTATATATATTATTTTACCCAAACTAAGTTAGGTAACCAATGTTATCCCTAACAAGTAACAGAAGCAAGCATACCTGATACTCTTTCCTCCTCCTATTTTCCTGTCAACAACCACCCTGTGAGGTGGGTTGGGCTGAGAGAGTGAGAGAGCTTGGCCAAAGGTCACCCGGGTGGCCTTCACGCCTAAAGTGGGACTAGAACTCACAGTTTTCTGGTTTCTAGAGTGACATCTTAACCACTGCACCAAATTGGCTCTCCAAATTCTTCAGTGATCTACAGTTATGCATTCCTGCTATTAACAAATGTGGGGTGTTGCTTTTCCTTCCTCTCATCGTGCACTGAGCCAGCTTTACCATTAGGGAGACTGAGGCAGAGGAGGGAGAAAATGGGAAGAAGGTTTTTGGAAGACTGTAATATGGATCAAGTTGAAATGAAACTCAGCTCCTGCCCTAGTTGATCTCTACCTGCCTGCCTGGCCTGCCTCCAGCCTAAATGTTATAAGGGGTCATCCTTGGGGGAAGGTACTTGGTCTCATTGGTTCTTCTTCTAATTTTAGGGGGACATCTTCTAACTTTACTTGTGTCATTCTCTGTTCTTCTCCCTCAATCTCCATGAAGCCTTACATTTCTCCAACTTCAGTGGCAATCGATCTGATGAGGAATTATGTAAGCAAAGAGGTTCTTCTAAGAGAAATGAATGCTGTTAGGAAAGATATGGAGGAAATGAAGCAGTTGATAATGCTGGTAGATTAGAAAGTCTATGAAATTCCTTATTATAAGATTAAGAGTCCAGATGGCGCTTCATCCAGTCCTTAGGATCAATTAGAATTATTATATTCTCGCAAAGGAGTTGATGTCCAGTTGCATCTAAAATTAACCGTTCAACCTGCGTGTCTAAAGATGGTTCATCCGTGATGCAGTTTTCCATTCTTAAATAAGATGACTTACTCATAGTCCCATAAAACAGATTAATTATACAATGTGTCTGCAGGCTCTTGAGGTCTTGTTTATAAATATAAAACCCCGTGCAAGGCAGTTTGCAAGATGTTTTGCTGGAGCGAAGTCGGTGAGTGATTGTACCTAGATGGGGAATGCATGGGAATTCTAGGATGTATGTACTTTATGCAATTAAATGAACAAACAATAAATTATTTTTCAGTAGAAGAGGCCTATGAAATGTCCCTTATCCAAAGATTTTGCTAAGTGTTTCCTGATCTTCTGGCAGACTTCAGAATGCATTTTGAATTTTAATGTTTCTCACTATACAATCCTTTATACTTCTACTCTGACCAATAGGAGATTCTCTGGGAACTAGTTATTTGATTGTAGTGGTATAAGTTAGTTAACCTAACCATTAATTTTTCATGTTGCCCAGAGTCTCTATTTTGGTATACAGTACATTCATGGGCAAAATATGGCCAGGTTTGTTATCTTGCAAAACTTCTGGCCGTGTCTTCTTAAGTAGTTTACTGGGAATTGGTCTTCTTCTTCTTCTTCTTCTTCTTCTTCTTCTTCTTCTTCTTCTTCTTCTTCTTCTTCTTCTTCTTCT